GTGGTAAAATATGATATTTTTGACAAATTTTCACTTAACCATAGCATACGGTTTTTAGCCATGACATACGGCGCCGTATGCGATGGTTTATGGATTTTTGCTATTTCAGACTCAAAACGAGGCTAAATGTCAACATCGCCGGATCGTTTCGAATTAAATCACTTAATTTCCGACGATTCTGATGATGACTTTAACTATGGAATAAAAAGAACATCCTATGATTTACTCGTGATATGATTTTAATCCACTCATGGATATTGCTATCTATTATCTGCACTCTCTCGCTACGCTCACTCGTGCGGATATTATATTCATTCGTGGATAAAAATCATATCACTCATAAATCATAGGATATCCTCTATATATTCCAATACCTCTGTAGCATTCAATTAGAGATATATCTTACCAATTAATCACTGTAGTATATTTTATGAAACATAAACAATTATTTGTTGTTTAACCTTTGGCAATGATTGATGAACACTGCAAGTAAAGTGTTTTAGCCCTGATACGGACAACGCATTTTTATAACACTAACAGGCATGAGAATAGGGGGGACACCACCTTGCATTTCCTGAGTTGAAGAAGTGGTAGAAACTAAGGTACAATACAATAGGTCATTCAAACTCTCGAGGAAGAGGTATTAACATCTCAAAAAGTAGGTCAAAGTAAAATACGGGGAGACGTTTGGTGTATTTTTACTTTTCAATTAAAAAACAACATACGGGGTGTCCCGGAAGTATGGGACACCCATAGACAAACATATTCCAATGTCTCCATAGTGTGTATCATATAATCATTTTAAAGCTTATCCAAAATTACAATGATTTGAAATCAGAAAAAGTTACAGGTATTTCGAAACTTAGTATTCGGCCAAAATTTAGGTTCAATTAGTATCCTGGAAACAGTCATGACCTGAATGTGACAGAAAATATGGGCGTTATCGTTAAAAATAGGATATTGACATTGAGTCGGAAAAGAGGACAGTGAGGGCAAATACTCAAAGGGAATTCTTCTTAAATGCTTTAAAAAAGTTTTATGGGGATTACAAAATACCACACCTCTATATCTGAAGCACTTTTAAGGACATGTCCGAAAAAATTGCTGCTGTCAACATGGCCAAGGGGGGACATACTGGCTATTAATTTGTTGTAAAACTGAACTTTAATTTTGGCAAAACACTTATTTCTGTAATGCCTGCAACTTTTTTCCATTTGTGAGTTGAACTATGATACTTGGCAAACCAATGTACATGTAACTTTGGATAAGCTTTTAAATAAAGTATGACAAATACTATTTAGACACAGGTATATGTCTGTCTAGGTTAGGGGGTCCCATACTTTCGGGATACCCCGTACATATATTCAGTTTCAAAAAAAATTGTTTTGTATCGATAAAACAAAACTATATTGAACATGATGCTTGAAAATTGAATTAACTTCATATATAGTGTATGAAAAACTCGCAACTGCCCGCTTGTAGAAAATAAGCATATTTGAGCTAGAAATTGCAACATTGTCCAATTTCCATGATTTATTTTTGCATTATAGAATATAGTTCCCATATGGTTCTATAAGCACATAATCAATGTTACTAATATATACAAGGGCCTATGCATATGTATTATGATAAAAATGCTCTCATTTTTTGTTTTTTCACATATCCCTCTCATTTTTTCAGAACTTGAAGATTATGTAATTACACATACAATGCCAAAATAGTATAGCTATATCTTAAATTATTTTTGAGATAAGGTTACCATGGTAACCTGTATTTATTATAACGTATAAAATAGATAAATTTGTCAATTTAATCATTCCTCGGTACCTATTTCAATCAGATTAAAGTAGCTTTCTATGATTTCATCTAAAAATTAAAACCCTTGGAAATACTAGATATGGTTTAAGTGCCATATATAAAATATTATTTCAGAAATATTGTGGATCAAAATGAAAAAAAAACAAAAATAAAGAATAAAAACATGTTCCACCCGTGGGATTTGAACCCAGATCTTTTGGAATAAAAGTCTGGAATCTGAGTCTAAAGCTCTAACCACTACACCACAGTGTCAAAGCTTTCTGAAGAAAGAAATTCTTTATGTATATAATCATGGACGAAAAAAGTCTTATTTACATGCTTAAATTTCTTGAAAATGATCAGCATTACTACTAATAATAACATTTTGCATGTCTGAGTAAGTATTTTGATCTACATTTAGGATAAATGTTGTTTTATTCAGTTTTCATTTTGGGTATGACTTCCTGTCAAAACAGTGTTAAAAATGCAAGGCTCAACAAAAAAATTCAGTTAGAAAATGATATATATCCTTTGATCAGCTGTTTTTGGCACCTGAACTCATCCTACTAGAAAGGTAAGAGCATTTTCTTGAGACATATGGCTTGAAATCTCAAATTTCTCCTTCTAAGTCTAAGAAAGACACTTTAAACGCATATCCAGGCCATTGCCAACTATTCGTTGAACTGCTCCATTGTTGCCATTGTTTGCTATTTCCACAGTGGGATAGTTCTTTTTCATAAATTGCATCTCAAATTATCGTAGTGTTCTCTGTCCGCAAGCTCTTCTTGCAACCAGATTGGGAATGATATTCAACAGTGACTAGCCTTCCTCAAATTTACAATACTATCTAGAGATCCTTAGAGCAGATATAACACCTTGCCCATACACTATACGAGTCCATGTATGTCTCTGGCGGTGTCCTCTTACTTATTCTTGAGAGTACATAAAAGCTAGTGGTACTACTAAAATGTATCTGTTAATGTTACACTCTGCAACAGACGCACTAACCTCATCTGATGTGTCATTTTGATATTTGGTGTGTCTCATGACATGTAATCCCAATTTGCCCATCCTGTCATACATTGCTATTGTGAGTTGTTGTGATGGTATAGTGATCACGAATAAGCATTTGTTTAGCAATAAACAACGAGCAACAATACCAAACTTCTTTTTAAAAAATGTATGATTTCCGCATGCTTTAAAGTAATTAAAATAGCAAGTTATTATAATATTTTATACGTTATAATTTAATTGACCTGCCTACCCTTAATACAGGTTACCATGGTAACCCTATCTCCTAATTAACTCAGGATGTAGCTATAATATTTAAGCATTGTATGTGTACTTACATAATCTACATTTTCTGAAAATATGAAAGGGATATGTGAAAAATTAGCAAAATGAGAGCATTTTTATCAGAATATATGGATCGCCCCATGTTGATTGCATTTTTGGTTCTATATTACTGATTTACGAATACTATTTCAAAATAAATATTAACGCCATTCGAGATGCCAGAACATTATCTCTGTCAAAAACTAGTAATAGCATTGCAATTTACTCTTAGCCACTCGTTTACTAGAATGCATTTGATGCTTTTATATGCATTTATATTCACTATTTTGTAAAGTACGTAGGAAAAAATGACTAAACATAGCTGCGATGTGGAAAACTCTTTGGGGAGGGGAGACAAATAAAATTGTTTCTACAAAACTAATGAAGATATGGTTATATTGTTTTTTGGTCATCTGAAAAATATGTTCAGGACCTCCCAAAAACAATGGATATATGATCCCCAGTTTTTGACAAATCATTTTTACTTAATTTGTTGCATCAAAGTCGCCACTGTTGAGCGCCACTGTATGATATTGAAAACATTTTAGCTCAGTCAATAAAAGTCTGATTACCTTGTAATATGGCTCGTTTGAAAAAGTATTCACTATGCTATATGGTATATGATATTCTAAAGAAAGTAAATAGAACAATCTTAAAAGATGGTGTTAGAGATGGTGTGCTTTTCATGCATCTTAGCAACTATATACCTCCGATCACCTCGACCTTTGAACCAATGGCGTAACAGAGAAAATCCGGGGGGAGGGTGTCAAACCAATCCAAATTATGCATTATCAAAACTTCTATTTTTCTAAAGGACCAGGTATAGTACAACATAGAGATTTGGACAGTTGCATCTTTCACCAAGAGTACTATCTGGCCATGAATTGATTTTATCAAAACAATATGTTTCCTTTCAAATGTTGTCCCCGCGATAATAAGAATATCAAATGAAATCTCTGAAAATTATTGATTTGGACCCAATCTTGTCATTTTTTTAGAAATGTAAGACTTATTTTCTTAATATATCTAAATACAGTATATCAAAAGTTTCTTCTACACTATACGAGATTTCGTATTAACAAATTCTGAAAGGGAATGGGTATTGAAATACGTTATTTATGTTATTTTCCCGTTGTTTTCAGCGTAATATTGGTCATCGGATATTGATATCTTCAAAACTAGTCTTTCAATACTATTCTACTTTTGAGGAAGTGTTAGACCCCTTGTTGGATAATCTTTTGATGCAATCAAAATCAGAAAAAAGAAAATCTATTTTGTGTAGAAATGTAAAACATTTTGAGAAAATGTTGACATTGGGTCTTTATTCATAATTTTGCGAATTATATAATTATTTGATTAATATTTACTATCCCTGAGTATTTTTTTGGAAGATAACATTACGTTAATGAGAAAAAAAATCGTATGACGGTCTAAAATCACTGGTGCTTCACATGAGTATATTATTCATTAGTACATTATGTATTAATTATCTGAGCATAAATTCTTTCTTTTGAAATTCATATGAACACTTCATCAAAATTTACGAAAAACTATTTTATCAAGAAGTCCGTAAATGCCACTATATATTCGTTCCTGACACATTTTTTTATATTAAAAAGTTTAACAAATAGTATAACATCCTATAATAGTAAAATATTACCACAATGAGCACTATCATTCATAATTTAGCTATAGTGTTGTAACTCTTTTGTCTTTTGGTTTCGAGAAAAGTTACCGGATTTCATTCTATTTAGATTTTGATAAATGGTACTTACTGCGAATTTTACGAATTCAAACATCTGATGTCAATACTAGCTACTATGTGTGTGTCCATGTTGCAATAGCATATAAGAAATGATTTAACTTACCTCCCATTCTTCTTTGGAGAAGATCCATCTTCCACTGTAGATTCTGCTTGCGTCAGGTCGCTTTTGGATAGCGACTCGTCTCCAATCCATGCATGCAAAACATCAACTTTTATACCCATATCATTAACAATATTGTCTATTTCATCCAATCAGAACAAGGAATTTTGCCATGGAATCCCTAAGTATTCTAATATTAATATTTCACTTATATTGACAGCTATTCGCAATAAATGTGAATGACGAGGGACAATAAGGATATTAAATAAAAAAAACATGTATATTGGAATATTCATAATCATCAATCAAACTTATATTTTGATATTTATTTCATTTAAAACTTGCGAAATAACGGTCCATGAAACCTCGCGTATAGCAAAAGGGCAAAAGTTCAATTGATTTTGATTTTCAGTACGAATACAGACCGTGAAAGCGTGGCCCATCGATCCTTTTGATTTTAGGAGTAAGAGGTGAAGCAAGATGTGTCAGAAAAGTTACCACAGGGATAACTGGCTTGTAGCAGCAGTATGGCAAGTGATTTAAGATAGATGTAGTCAGATCTTTCACCATGAGTACTTTCTGGGCATAAATACAGTGTTTTTATTAAAATAATATGTTTTCTTTCAAGTGAAGTGCCCATGATGATAAAAATATCAATCAAACAATTCGAAAAATTATGAATGTCAACAATTTTTCAAAATGTTGAACCTAGTTACTCAAAAGAGGATCTCATTTTTTTATGATTTTTATTGCGTGAAAAGATTATTCAAAAAGGGGTCTAAAACTTAATCAAAAGTAGAATGGTATTGAAAGTCTAGTTTTGGAGATATCAATTTTCGATGACTAAAATTATGCTGAAAACCATGGACAGCACGAGTTTCCCCTACGGGGAATTAACATTGGATGCGTGTTTTTTTAACGTTCACGCTTTTCAATACCAATCTCCTTTCACAAGTTGTTAATGTAATGTAGAAGAAACTCTCAGTATGGTTAAATTGAGAAAAACAAGATCCTCTTTTTAGAAAATAAGACATTTTTTGAAAAGTGCCAAGGTGGAGTCCTAAACCATAATTTTTCAGAGAGTTGGATTGATATTTTATTATCATGAGGACTTAATTCATATGAAAGAAAACATATTGTTTTATTAGAAACCACTGTATTTATAGCCAGGAAGTACTCGTGGTGAAAGAAATGACTGTCTAAAATCACTTGCCAGCATACTGCACACGGACCTTTATGGAACACCAGGTTCCTGTTAATATTATCATTAAGATTAAAATTCAAAACTCAACCGAGTCCATTAAACAACATTTCTTAGTGGAGTGATTGATCTTCAAATTGGGAGGAATACATGTTTTACAATTTCAAAAACCATGGGAATATTTTTCAAAACAAAACACTTGTTCAGTTGAGATATCGTTTTGATCATGTTTTGCTAATTTTAGTATTTACCTTTTTTCTCTTCCATCTTTTTCACAAACCTTTCACTACGTAACCCCCCTATCACACCAAACTAGTTCTTACCCGTTCTTGCTAGTCCTACGAAAACGTCCTAAAACGGGCTCAATCTGGCTGTGGTCGGGAAATAAGTCTGAAATAATTAGCTTCTTCGTTCTTAAACAGTCTTCAATACGTCCATCTCGTTCGCAGTTCGTTCAGGTCGCACCACGTCGGTGTGCAACGTAGTAGAACGCGTCCCTTAGTCTAGAAGGTCAACATGACCTGATTACAGAACGGTATGGTCGCCATCGAACTTTGAATCGATTCAAAATTCTAAAATCACATTCCCGTCTGAGAACGTTCATAAAGTTCGTAAATAGACCTTAGAAAGTTGCAGCTACGTTCATTCCGTTCGCACACAGTTTAAGACCAGTTTTGAAGAACGCAGTGGCAACTTGTTTGGTGTGATAGCTATATTTTTGCTAACTCGTTCATCAGCAGTGTTAAATATGTTCTTAATCAGTTTAAACCCGTTTGCAATTAGTTCTACCTCGTTCTCAACACGTCCTCGGACAGTTCAACTCGTTGTTAAAACGTCCCTAGTAGGATTGAAGTACGACGGTTCCGATCGTAGTACGTCCAGCTTGTCGTTAGTACGTTGTCACTCGTTCTAATTGTAGAACGTGACGACCACGAAAACATTTTGAGCATTGTCTAAGTTCTAGAGGACCTACCCGTTCGAGTACGTTCGATGAAGTTTGTAAATAGATCCCAAACGGTTCTTAGTAGGTCCAGTCCGTTCGTACACAGTTGAAGCCCGTTTTCGAGAACGTAGTGAGAACTAGTTTGGTGTGATAGTAGGGTTAGAAACATATATCTGAGCTCATTTTATTGAAACTTCACAGTATTGACAAAGTTATGGTTACTGTGGTAATCATTGTCATAGGTATGTGAGGAAAGGTTCTGACGTCACTTTTTGGACGACATTTTGAGTGTTGTTACTACTGGTGCCTACTTGAGTACATCATTAAGTAAAGTTGCAATATGAGGTGTCTCTGGAATGGATTATTTGCAACTGATCATGGTCAGATATATGTTCATCATTTTGTGAAAGTTTCATGACGAAAAACGCGAGATCGAGAACAAAGGATATTAGCAAAATTAGCGATACAGTTTGAACTCAATGTATGCGAATGACTGACTTATATCATCTGATAGAGGAGACATGTGTCTATAATGTTGATATGCATTGAGAAGACATCGTCGCTGATTGGTCGGATTGACAGACAAATGACGCCATTCAATTGCGGTTTAGTAATGAAGTTTGTAAATAGTATAGACCGAATAAAGTTCTCGTTCAATAACGTCCTAACCCTACTATCACACCAAACTAGTTCTCACTACGTTCTCGAAAACGGACTTCAACTGTGTACGAACGGACTGGACCTACTAAGAACCGTTTGGGATCTATTTACAAACTTCATCGAACGTACTCAAACGGGTAGGTCCTCTAGAACTTAGACAATGCTCAAAATGTTCTCGTGGTCGTCACGTTCTACAATTAGAACGAGTGACAACGTACTAACGACGAGCTGGACGTACTACGAACGGAACCGTCGCACTTCAATCCTACTAGGGACGTTTTAACAACGAGTTGAACTGTCTGAAGACGTGTTGAGAACGAGGTAGAACTAATTGCAAACGGGTTTAAACTGATTAATAACGTATTTAACACTGCTTATGAACGAGTTAGCAAAAATATAGCTATCACACCAAACAAGTTGCCACTGCGTTCTTCAAAACTGGTTTTAAACTGTGTGCGAACGGAATGAACGTAGCTGCAACTTTCTAAGGTCTATTTACGAACTTTATGAACGTTCTCAGACGGGAATGTGATTTTAGAATTTTGAATCGATTCAAAATTCGATGGCGACCATACCGTTCTGTAATCAGGTCATGTTGACCTTCTAGACTAAAGGACGCGTTCTACGACGTTGCACACCGACGTGGTGCGACCTGAATGAACTGCGAACGAGATGGACGTATTGAAGACTGTTTAAGAACGAAGAAGCTAATTATTTCAGACATATTTCCCGACCACAGCCAGATCGAGCCCGTTTTACGACGTTTTCGTAGGACTGGCAAGAACGTGTAAGAACTAGTTTGGTGTGATAGGGGGGTTACTAGGATTTAAGTACGACAGTTTCGTTCGTACTTGCATCTAGCTCGTATTGATCGAGTACGTTGTCACTCGTTCTAATTGCATAACGAGACCAACATTAGATAATTTTGAGAATGCTTTAAGTTCTCGGGACCTGCCCGTTCGAGTACGTTCGTGACGTTTATTAATAGACGAAAAACAGTTCTAAGTACGCCCAATCCGTTTGTACAGTATATAAGCCCGTTTTAGAGAACGAAGTGAGAACTTGTTTGGTGTGATAGTAGGGTAAAGTGGAAAACACTTGACTCTCGAAGAATGCATAAATTTGAAGAAAGTCTCTAAATTCCCCTAATGGCATATTCTAAGTTCCATTTTCCAAACCATGATGGGACGGTTGTTGCTATTTTCTGGCTCCAGTTCCCAAAACTACATGATTGAATACTTCACCATATGTTTGTTTTAATGTTGAAGATATATTCATATATTTTAATCTTGATAGTATTAAAATGAATTCTATATGTGATGAATTGTATTATTACTTCCGGGCAATTATCATCAATTTTACCCGATTCTTTATTATTTTAATATAACACATGTGATTCGACGATTGAATTGGCAATGAAAAATAGTGAGAATCTTCCATTTCTACACATTTTAGAACTAAATGTGTTTGGGTTGGATAAAAACCTTGTTGAATTGTTACTAGTCTTGGGATTTATTTTTTCTCACTGGACTTACATGTGTATTGTATCTCATGGGACTACATGTATCTATATCCTCATATTAGACCTCCGGTCTACCTCTTAGACTTGTTATCTCCTTAATACTTTAGGTCTACTTCTGGTAATTATCATATCCTTACATTAATGTGAGACTGTATGTATCAAATCGTTTAAGGTGCCATGATACTTAACAGGAAATGACAAAACAGAAAGTGACATTAGACATTTTTTGAACAAAGATAACAGAGTTCTGTTTTGACCACCAGTCAATTCAACTAGTTCCACATACCATTTACAGCTCCAGGATCACAATGTTCATGGTCAGAATGACCCTAAACATGATGAAATAAGTTTTTCAGCCCTCTGAAAATGTGACTGAAAATTAGCTAAAAGTAGGAGCTAGGAAAGGTCACTGAACAGAATCTTTTGAATTTTTCAGAATATGTGCCCAATACATTGCTCTAAATGATACAATCTTTAAAAATTTGATATCATTCAAAGAAAAAGAAAAGAATTGAAAAAAGATGATTTGAAAGGCGATCTATTTTCCTTTTTATGACCGCCATTTTTGTTTCAGACATTTTCTGAAAAATTCAAAAGATTCTGTTCAGTGACCTTCCCTAACTCCTACTTTTAGCAATTTTTCAGTCACGTTTTCAAAGGGCTAGTCGAAAAAGGTTATTTCATCATGTTTAGGGTCATTCTGACCATGCACATTGTGATCCTGGTCATGTAAATGATATGTGGAAATAATTAAATTGACTGGAGGTCAAAACAGTCATCATTCATCAGATCATTAATATTCAAGATAGTAATCTGTCATACGTTGAATATTGCAAAAGGAATGATTTTTAGATTTTTTTCTGTAGTCAAATTTAAAATGATTTCTCACATAGCTAGACAAGGTGTGGCCAATTCCAGCCAATCCGAACACAGTATTTCACATAATGCACTGTGCATGAAATTCCAATAGCCCATCCAAGGTCATTCCTTGTGTGGTTGCCAATGTGACAAGTTTACTCAACAGATTATAACTGATTGTTTGCCAACTTGACCCTTGCAAAAAGTGTCATTGAAAATATGTTATTTTAGTGATTTCGAATCTTTTAGGTGACATGATAGAAAATATTTTGCGATGTGTGAAAAGAATTTAAGCCCAAGACTCGATGCATTGTGTAATGACCATTCCTTTCAGACATTGCTTTCTAAAATTAACACTCAATGCTCCGCATCTCGTGCAAATTTTGGAGAGCAACATCTTCAAGGTATGGTCATTCCACATTGCACTGAGTCCAGGGCCTAAATCCTTAATTAAAAGCGCTAATAGTTTTGAATTAGTAACATCCAAGTGACGCAACGGTTTTCTGAGGAAACATGTATAACCTTAACCTCCATGCACATTTAAAGAAGTTTGAAATACGCATAGATCATATATCTTAACATGAATGAAATTAAAAGTTTTAAGTTTTCACACTTGACGTATCACATCGTTTCATATATACTTTATAGTGAGGTTAAATATTATGATCGAGGTAAACATAACATGTTCATGTACCTCCTATCATATCTAGCTAAAAGATCTAGCTATATAGCAGTTAAATTATAACATATAAAATACATAAATTTGTTAATTCCATCGTTTCTTGGTACCTATTTTAACCAGAAAAAACGCATTGTTAGGTCATTGCCAACTATTCGTTGAACTGTTCCGTATCACATGTTGGTTGCCCTTGTTTGCTTACACCCCAGTCACATTTGTCGTACGGAGGCCGTGCGTCGACCGCAGATCAATTAAATCAGTGTATTTCTGCGGCGAGCGTAGGAAAACTACGCTCGCCTTGCGGCCTCCGTACGGCGTATCCAGTTTTTTACAGGCCGCAGGGTCGCCGTAGAAATTATAACTCGGAGTTATAATATTTGCTCATTTCTGAGGTCTCCGTAGAAATCAACTGGCTCAACAAGATTGAATCATTATTTGTCAATGTTTCACGATCACTTTTCATTTGATATTACATCCTAGCACTATGAATAACATTTTATAAATTGTCCCGATGTAAATAAAATGAAAAAAAAGTATTATTTATCAACAGAAATTTAAAATTCTCCGTGCGGCTGCCGTGGGAAATGTGACTGCAAAAGTATGAGAGCGCAGAAATTCTACGGCGAGCGTAGAAAAGCTACTGGCCGCAGAAATGATAGACCGCAAGGTCGCCGTAGGAAATGTGACTGGGGTGTAACCTTCGTTGAATTTTCTACTCAATTGCTTCGTTATCAACTAAGCTTTTCTAACGAAGGCGGAAGTGTTACACTGGCCTAAAATTGCTTCGTTACGAAGCTTTTTGTCAAATTGCTTCGTAACGAAGCATTTCAACTGGCCTGTGTAACAGGGGTCAATGTAGTTCTTTACCCATGAATAACTGTTAAATGAGTTGATGGCATATGAAATTAATGTGACACAAAAACATTGCCTTATTAGCTGAACCCTATCCCGCGCTTCTGTTACCATAGCAACCATAATGCAATAACCAATCATAATTGAGATACTATATTTAGCCAATATTTTTGACTGACCCAAGTAGCTAATCAATTTAGACATATTTTCAGATTCTAGTAAGATTGAACCCGTTTTACGACTTGATACGAATTTTTGAAGGACTGGAAAGAACGGTTGAGAACTAGTTTGGTGTGATTGGGGAGGGGGGATAACTCGTTCAAGGAAGATAATTTTAATAAGTTTCCTGGGAAAATAAATTGAGAGGGAACAGTAATCCTCCATGTCCACTAGTTCAACGTCGTTAAACTCAATAACGGCGTTCTTTATTATTAGGAATTTTCTTGGGGCCATTATTGAGTTTAACCTCCTTACTATTCTTTCCTTTGATGCAAGTTCTGAATCCATCGAAACCATTTGTCCGCGATAACGTGCAACTGATACTTGACAATAATATAAAAACACATAACATCAAGCGATTTAACACAATATTATTGTGTTAAATGTTCATTTATACGAGTAAAATGAGGCTACACTTACCAATATCTAAAGTGACATTTCCGCATGTCCGTCATTGTGTCTGTTCGTCTGAGTGTCCCGGATCGTAAAATTAAACTACCAGCGAAACGAAATTGTTGTCAAATAGATTGATAATTATTATCGCGATTACTCGGGATAAAAAGATCAATTTTGAGGATAACAGGTATCTTTGATTAATTTATATAGCGCGTATATACACGCAAAATAGTTATTAATTGCAAACCAACTGTTCGTTAATGCAGTGCCGTGATGACGGTTAATTCCTGAAACGATTTGCAATTTCGATGTTACCGAAACTGACCGACATTTTCGTCATATTCCAAACCTGTCTCCAATATTTTCGTAATTATGCATCAATAGGGTCTAAGGGGGATACGGGACGGGGTGTATGTGTTTATAAGGTATGTATGCATGCTTGAATCACATTCTTTGTGTAATATTGCCATATTTTCAGGGTTCAATTAGTTCCGCTTGTCGAAACCTGCTGAACGATTAAATTAACGCATCGAAGGCAAAATGGTCATGGAGGTTAGACCTAGCCGGGCCATAACACATGTCAGATAAGAAACGAGGCCCGGGCTAGGTCTAATGTTGTTGGACTACATGTCCACGTGTGTTTTCTTTCAAGCACCTTCGTGGTTTCATACGATTTGCAAATGATACATGTATTGTACTTATTACTTCAACATCCGAATTTGAAAACATATTATTAGTTGCGCCATACGCTTAGCAAATTATAAAAAAAAAAATATTGCGATGCATATCTTTAAATAACGATATCCAGTCATGTACTATCAAAAATATTAAAAATGGCATATTCTGCTTTACCCGTTCTTCCAAGGGTTTATTTAATACCTTGAGCTTAATGTGCGTACCAAACGAAGTGAAACAGCACGAAATCCGGGCTTTATGGTCCTCGTTATACTAGAGGATGAAGGGGAAAATATTTCTAGACCTAGGTACCTTTTTCAGCATCGTTTTGTTGTTATTTTACTCTACTTCGTTAATAAACAGGGAACAGTGTCACCCTGCTTCAGAAATTAATTCCAAATAAAAGTCTATGACGTGACATATTTAATCACGTGATATGCAGAAGAGAGAACCTCCATCGCATTCCTGGCAAAACAAACAAAACAGATGCGGTCAATCTTCGTTTCCAATGTTGTTTCCTATGGACATGGTGAAAAATAACTGTCTTGATTTTTATCAAGCTAATACACGAAGAAGGGTACAGTACTGTGTTACACCTTTAGGATTTGGGAATAATGGTATCTACCACAATATGGGAAATATTTGAACTATATAATATTATGCATATATGTACACCGTATGCATTATCACCTTTTGAGGTTTTTTATTCATACGTTTTTATGTCTCATGTGTATACAATATTGAAACACAGAACAGGTATTTGCGTGTGTGGACGACTGTGATCTCATATGGATTTATTAAAACAGGTTGAAATATGATATTCATGTAAGAACGATTCAATAGATGTCGCCGTTGTGATATTAGTTTTGCCTTTACGAATATTGTATTTTGTGTCATGTTTGTTTCTGCCCAATCTGTGTAATATCAAACATATCAAATAAAGTCACTCAGTGATGAATGGGTTCATCAAAGCAAACCTTTAGAAAAAACACCGCACTCATTTATTGAGTCCAATTATACATGTAGTTTAACTTATATTTGGAACTTATACATACTGTACATGTCAAAATGTAAGTTAAAATATAACTTAACTCAATAAATAAGTGCGGCGTTATTAGTGAATTTAATTTGATAAACTGCGGATGTGATAACGTTCAAAGAGACAACATTTGATTTTATAGCATTGATAATAAAAAACGCATTTGTCATGTATATTTTTTATACAAGTAGAAATTTACATGTTGAAAGCGTTCTTAATGAATTTTTACTTAGATTTTAATCTTTGCCCCTTTGAAAGAAATTCTAAGTGACCTGGAGAATCGTCACTTAAGCTTTAAATAGTATAACCTGGTGCAATTTTCTAATATTTGAAAATTGAAAATTATAACAAGTTTATTATACGTACGTATTAGCTTTTATCGATACTCCATCTATGAAATGATAACTATTCGTCCTATATACACCCCCCTTCATAAGTTTGGTAATCGCAAATCCCGTTTTGGATAACTTATCAAAGCGTGTATTATATGTTTGGCCATTAACAGAAATTCATCGAATGGAACTACAATGTAAATTAAAATTTAAAAAATTGACAGGGTGCTTTGGTGTGGTATCCAATGAGAAATCCAGTTATTTTTCTTTATTTTGAACTTTCCCTGCAAGATGTATTTATTGACAGTATATGACAAAACAGACGTATTACTTATCAACAATGTATTTATTCATTTATTCATGCAACCAAAATGATAAAAATACGTGAAATTAATTATCTACTAGATTGTAACGCTCCTGATTTGCCATGCAGTTGAGAGTTTCACTTTAGTTATGTTGGTATATTCCTCGAATTGTATCAGGCTAACAGACTTAGGTCCACTGCAAGCAGTGAAATCCTCATTTGAAGTGGCACAGATGATATACAAATTAAGAGCTCAGTCGAGTAGATTATGATGAAGAATCTAAATAGGATTTAGAAATATTGAGATAGAATAAAAATCATTAATATCACTTGAACTTTGACTTGAATTTTTGACTTGGAAAAGCGTTCACACATTTTATTATTACTAAGAGCAATCGTTATCTTAAATAAACCAGTTTAAACGTGTGTCCCTTTGGAAGAAAATGAAACATTTTTCAGATTTTTCTGTTATAATTTATTTGAGATTTAAAATAAGACAATAATATATAGCTAATAAAAACCCGTATACCAAATAATGAAAACATGTGCAGCTGAAAATAATCGAAATTCCGTCCTGAAAACCGAATATGTAAGAACAGGTCACGTCTCTATATTTTCTTAAAATTAATTCTGAATTCTGACTTTAACAAGAAATTGCAAAATTGAGAAAATCCTTGCTTCTGGTGGGCGCTTTATATATACTATATGCGTACTCAAGCGAGTGAATTGTTATGCAACGATTTATCATAATGTATTATCTTTGTTGAAAAGGATTTTTATATTATTGATGAAATATTATGCGAATAGTTTATCACGATCTGCCTTAAACATCTTGCCGCTAGTGCTTTTCCGAGTACATATTATCACAAGGTATGTAAGAAATGAAATAAAGCTTAAATGTCGAACACCACACCATAAAGTTTAACATCAAGAAAAAAGTGATAAAACAAATATGTACAGCCAGGGTCATATCCGTAAAACATAGCGATGGTCATATCCGTATTATACCAACGATAATATCCGTAAAACAGCTTTGATCATTTCCGCAAAACATAGCAATGTTCGTAGAACATAGTAATGGTCAAATCCGTAAAACATAGCAATAATCATATCCGTAAAACATAGCGATGGTCATATCCGTGAACATAGTGATGTTCATATCCGTAAAATTTAGCGATGGTAATATCCGTAAAACATAGCGATGGTCATATATATGTATTATACCGACGATCATATCCGTAAAACAGCTTTGATCATTTCCGCAAAACATAGCAATGTTCGTAGAACATAGCAATGGTCAAATCCGTAAAACATAGCAATGATCATATCCGTAAAACCTAGCGATGGTCATATCCGTAAAACATAGTGATGTTCATATCTGTAAAATTTAGCGATGGTCATATCCGTAAAACCTAGCGATGATCATATCCGTAAAACATAGGGTTGTTCATATCCGTAAAACATAGCAATAGTCATATCCGTAAAACATAGTGATGTTCATATCTGTAAAATATAGCGATGACCATATCCGTAAACATAGCAATGATCATATCCGTTAAACATAGTGATGTTCATATCTGTAAAACATAAAGCAATGGTCATATCTTATAGCGATGTTCATATTCGTAAAACATAGCGATGGTCATATCCGTAAAACGTAGCGAATAGCGATGGTGGTTATTTTTTATATAAAATACGAATACAGAACTCTTTCAACCACAGGCTGGTATCGAAATATTTGTCCGCTGTGACGGAGCATGCTATTTTTCATAAAAACACTAAGAATACTTCACGATTCATTGTTTAACTCATATCTTTCGTTATACCATACAAAATTACTTACTCCATGCAATGGATATATCATTTGGTGGTAACTTTCACTTCTGTTTGAAGCAGTTGCAAATGGAACAGTTGCAAACGGAGCAGTTGCAAATGTGAACTGTGAAAATGCTCCGTCACAGTGGAGAAAAAAATATATTATTTTTCATAAAAAAATTTAAAAGACCCAATGCATTAATATCTCATTAATATATTCAGAGTTATGCTGAAAACATATGTTAATTGTTAATATTATCATGTCATTAAAAAAGTTAAAAAAGAAATGGTAAATTTTAGAGTTTGATACTCTGGCGCCGTTTTCAATAGATTTTACTCCTAGCGTTATTGGACTTCAAACAGAAGTGAAGGTTACACGCAAATGATATATCCATTGCATGGCGTAAGTAATTATCTTTGATATAACGAAACATATGAGTTAAAAAATAAATCGTGAAGCATTCTTAGTGTTTTTATAAAAAATAGCATGCTCCGTCACAGCGGACAAATCTTTCGATACCAGCCTGTGTCAACTGCTTAGCCAAATGCAAAAACCCACCAATAATGGGACAAACTGCGATGTGCAAGTCTGGATGTATCACTTTTGTGCCAGTATACGTCAGCATTCTGTTGAACAACAGCGACTGAGCATAGGTTAGCTATATTATCGCGCATTTTGTCAAAAACCGCATACGCTTTTCTATTGCCTTCGTGTATCTTTGTTCCATCATACAAGATGTCCCACCAATAACTAAACGTGAACCTGTTCAATACTGACTCGGCACTGTTTTTGTTCATTCTTGTAGCAGTGGTTGCTTTACTCGCCACAGCGATGTTGCGCCCACTCTCCTGCCAAAGTATATGACCTCCACAAACATCAACACGAT